GTTCTATGAAAATAAAACTATCATTTAGTACATTATATAATCAAATCTAAAACTTAATATTAACTAATTAGTTTAAAGTTAACTTTATAACTTCTGTTGTTTGTAATTATTAATGAAAAACAATAAATCTTAAACAGTATATTAATATACTTACAATCYAAACAAAATCAATATTAAACAATTAGAAATACAAGTTAAATTTTAGAAATTTAAGTAATAAATTAATTTAAACTTTTCACAGGATTCCTAGCTGATTTTCTAGGATGTWTTTGCTATGATGCATTATGTAGTCATCAAATTTTTTGAAAACTAAATTCAAATATTTACTTTATTCAAAAAATATTTCATAATATATCACATATATTTTAAGCAATTACGCAGTCTTGGTTTCCACATCAAAATAATTACTTTTGAAAGCCCATTGRCATGATATTTTTTTATAGGGGTACGATCACAATAAATTTATCTTTTTACCTCGATTGGTAAATATTTTTGAAATTTGTTTTGATTAATTTTATACATTTTTCAAAATTTGATGACCAAATACTATGAAATGTTAAATAATATTATACTATCAAGCAATATACTGTAGTTCTTCAATATAAATATTAAATTATAATAATACATTATTTTACGAATCGTCAGACTTATTTTGATTCTGTTATCTATATTTTTGTTTGTTCGGCCCATAGAGTAATACTCTATGGTTCGGCCGCTAGACTATAAAATATTTTGTTTGATAGAGTTTTTTAATTAATTTATAATTGTGGTTTGTCAAGGCAATAAAAAAATATGACTTTTTATACCGTGCTGTTATATTATTAAGCGTGATTAAATTAGTTAAATATCATATTTATAATATAGAACATGGTTGAATAACATTGCCTTTATCACAGTTAAATTTACTTTCCCCGTATTCCTTTCTGTGTAATATAATAATAATATTTGCTCAGTTACGACAACATAGTTATCTCATTTCCATGAAATATAATAAACCATGTAATATTTATTTATTTTTTATTATTATTATTCTGCCGGCTGTAAGTGTAACATTTTAAGTAAACTTTGCATATTATAATTTATAAGGTATTAATATTATATTTAAATTAGTAGAACTATTAACTTAAAACTATAAGTAAAAATTATATGTAGGTATAT